TATCGGTATCGGTCAATATCGGTTTCGGACAATTCTCAAAGTTGTAATATTGGTATCGTATCGGAAGTGAAAAAGTGGTATCGGGACATCCCTAGATATTACTACTACTTCTACTTCCTGTTATCTTCTTCATCATCGTCTTTTTCACCAGTACAAACAGCCGGTTGTTGATCACGTGACTCCTGTGATGCGAAAAAACTGTTTCCATTGCAGTTTTGCGAAAAACACCAATTTCGATACGACCGAAAAACCACCTCATCCTAGCGCAAAAACATTTTGTCAAAATACGCATTTTTTCCCCGAAACTGACGTGTTTCCATAGAGCAAATTTATTTTCTAAATTCTAATTTGCGCATTTTCATGGTCAATGGTAATGACGCTACTTTTGTTATTTTCAAGTTATTTCAGGAAGATTTATGTTTTTTTTTCTCTTTAACAAAAGGGACACAAGCAAATCTATTTCTGTCTTTATGAAAACAAACAACAACAACAACAGAACAGTCGTGTAGAAGTAGAACAAAAGAACTCTCATTAAAGTCGTCACTTACTTGCCCAGTAGATTGATGTTTTGTGATATTGCACCGTTCTCGTTCAGTATTGAGTCCATTATCTTCACAGGGTCTTCTAGATTTAGACTGGAGGGCTTGTTGAGCTGCAGGGCACTGCTGGTTGGTCCACTGCTGGTTGGTCCACTGCTGGTTGGTCCACAGCTGGTTGGTCCACAGCTGGTTGGTCCACTGCTGGTTGGTCCACAGCTGGTTGGTCCACTATTGTCTGAAGAACTGGTTTTCTGGTTCTCTTCTGTCTGTTGAACATCCTGGTCTGTAAAGGTGGAGCTCATCTCAGAGTCAGCTGACAGGTCCTCACAGCTTTCAAACTCAACTTCAATTATTTCTACGTCCCTGAGGAAGAAGAATTAAAAACATGTCATTAGAAGATATATTCCTGACACTGTAACATCTGATCCTGTGTTGTAGAGAAGCACCTGTAGACTTCCTGCTGACCTGTGTGAATATATTCATACACTCACCGGAAACTTTATTAGGTACAGCTTGCTAGTACCAGTTTAGACACCCRTTTGTCTTCAGAACTGCCTTAATCCTCCCTGGCATTGATTCAACAAGGTACTGGAAACATTCTTCGGAGAGTCTGGTCCATATTCATAATGATAGCATCACACAGCTGCTGCAGATTTGTCGGCTGCACATCCATGATGCTAAWCTTCTCTTCAACCACATCCCAAAGGTCTAATTGATTGCGATCTGGTGACTGTGGAGCCATTCCAGTACAGTGAACTCGTGTTCAAGAAACCATTCTGAGATGATTCATGCTTTATGACATGGAGCGATATCCTGCTGGAAGTAGCCATCAGAAGATGGTACACTGTGGTCATAAAGAGATGGACATGGTCAGAAGATGGCACACTGTGGTCATAAAGGGGTGGACATGGTCAGAAGATGGCACACTGTGGTCATAAAGGGGTGGACATGGTC